TCTTTTTTCTTTTTCTATTTTTTTTTTTTTTACACCATCTCACTCTGTCACCCAGGCTGGAGTGCAAGTGGCGCGATCTCGGCTCACTGCAACCTTCCTGTAGTTGGGACTACAGGCGTGCGCCACCACACCCAGCTAATGATAGTCATGCAGTATCTACCAAGAAAAGTAGGCCTATCCCAAGAGACCACACCTTACTTAGAGGGATGGCTTCTGGACACCAGTCAGTCAGTCAGTCATGACATTAGAAGAAATGGACAGCAGTCTCCACTAAATGCCCAGTAGGAAGTCGCCTCTCACAGTAAGATGAGACTGATTTTGCTCATGGTTAAGAATAGGGAAAAAAAAAAACAAACAAAAAAACAAAAAACTGAAACTCCCTCTTCTCAAATCACATTCCCTTTGTCTCCCAGTGCCCATCTAACATGGCAATTCTTCCCATTTGCCATGGAGCTTCCTTTGCTCCTGTACTGCAGAGGTGCTTCTCCAACAAATTCAGAGAGAACCCACGCAGCTGTCATGAGCTGAGGGTGCCCCAAGCAGCCAGGAGGTGTTCGAAATTGGTAATACCCTGTCCTTGTTAATATGTGTGATTAGCAAGCTTTAGGATGTTAGGAATTCTTTAATTGCAAATATTCTGAAATTAAACCCTCCATTCTAGAAGGCAATCACAAAACAAAATCTTGTAAAACATGCTAGAAGGGGAAGGGTAGAGGAGGGGGCCAACATTTATTGTGCAATGGCTCCCAGTGCTTTGCACTGAATTGGCTGTGAACTTATGTTAAGCCTGTGGTTGGATCACAGCCACATGCAGTAACCAAAGTGACTGCCAAAGTATGCAGAAAATCATACACACGCACCCTGGCCCCACATGTCTGTCAAGCCATCTTTCTTCTTTCTATTCTATCGAAGGGGGTTTACATCAGTAACCCAGCTCTACCAATGGGCTCAAGACAGACCTAGCCTGTACTGCCTGAACCACCCTCTACCAGAGGGAGAGAACACCACCCCCAAAAGGCCAGCAACATCTGCCAGTTGGCTATATGATCTCCTTTGAGAAAATGAACACTCAGTTCTTTGTCTGTTTTCTTGTTTTACAATTATTTACTCTGCCCATAGGAATCTGATGGGTTTTAGAACACTCGACTCAATGGTGTTATCCATCTTCCCATCACTGTGGTGTCAGAGAATAATACCACACCCTAACAATCCAGACCTTGAGAAGCAAATATTTTCTGAGAGTTTCTTCAAAGAGAATGCACGAAATAATTTTGACTTTACATGTTCTAAGTAAGGGATTTCAGATGCAAAGAATAATCTCTGGAACCCTTAAGCTTTCCCAGTTTCACTTTTCAGTTGGCAGATGCCTGTCCTCCTTTACCCTAAAATCTTGCAAAATACTTTTGGGTATCTCTGTTGGTTTGCCAAGCTATGCTATGCTGTAGACAAAATTAACTTTTTAAACTTTGGCATGTGAATGTTTGAAACAAAACCGTTTTAAAATATCTCTGCCATAGCACAGACTGGGTGGCTGGGCTCCAGTAGACTCAGGACAGAATCAAATTACTGTAACCCAAGTTCCAGTCCCCCTTGAGGTTCCCACACTGCCACTGCTAGACCTGAACTCCCTGAGAGAGAAACATGCCTTATTTCATACAGCACAGGTCTGGCACAAAGAAGCCTTTGTAAAAGTTTGTTGTTTAAAAGAACAAGATGGATGCTGTATCACATTAACAGTAAGATCTGTGTCAGGGTGGGTGCGGTGGCTCACACCTGTAATCCCAGCACTTTAGGAGGCCAGGATGGGCGGATCACTTGAGGTCAGCAGTTCGAGACCAGCCTGGCCAACATAATGAAACCCTGTCTCTACTAAAAATACAAAAAAAAAAGTTAGCCAGGCAATGGTAGCATGTGCTTGTAATCCCAGCTGCCAGGGAGGCTGAGGCACGAAAATCGCTTGAACTTGGGAGGCGGAGGTTGCAGTGAGCAGAGATCATGCCACTGCACTCTAGCCTGGGCGACAGAGCACGCTGTGTCTCGGGAAAAAAAAAAGATCTGTGTCAACTGTAAAGGTCTTTGTAATTGTTGCTGGAGTAAGGGATATTCTATTTTCGCACTCCATTAAGTTACATAAAGAAAAGATTGTGAACAACAAAACAAGCCAGTCTAATCATTTGTAATAGTTTCTACAAGCTCTCCCCAAGAATATTATTTTTGGTCCTTCTAAAATATAACTAAAAAGAAAAGTTTTAAAATCCCCCAGCACATGATTTATTCCTTTAAAAGTAGGATTTATAGACAAGGAGAGCACAGACCAAATCAATGTTAAAAATTAAAGAGGAAAAAGAGGTGCACATGTGAGGGTTTAAGTCATTGCTACCCAAAGCCCCCCTATTTCAGTTCTTGATCTCCAAATCCTGGGGGAAGGCAAATTTCTGGTGATGGATTATGCCTCAGCTACTCTGGTATTTATAAAACATTTTGGCAGGTGCTCTGCCAGGCAGTCTATAATTAGTGAATATGCCTCAGAAACATAAAGTGAATTCAAAGAGTTTCAAATGCCAACAGCCAGCCCCCTGAATACTGAGCTAAGTGTCACAGGGCTGCCACCATCTAGATAACTTGGTGCTGGGTGCCCTGCCACGGTGTACACATGTGCACATGCACACACCAGTTCTGAAGAGTCTTTTTTTAAACCTCTAATGGCTTGACCTCAACACCTGCTACACTTCCTGAAGACAGGCTCTGGAGCTCCACTTGTTCCTCGCATGCGGCTGCACTTTCTAGGAACGACCGCACACACACAGACGCTGGCCAGCTGCCAAGGCGGGGGCAGCCCAGCCGCCTTGGGCCTGAACTTTCCCAGCGCTGTCAGGGCAGGATCCCGCTATGAGCTGACTCAGCGGCCGGTATGGAACTCTGCCAACCACACAGCAGTGCGGGGGCAGCCGGCAACTCACAGATGTTTTGCTAAACCAAAGCAATCAGTGGGAGGCGGGTCTGGGCTGGCGGCCAGGATGCTGCTGTCGTGGAAGTTGGGATTCTCTGATTCTAGCCCTAGCTCTGCCACTATCTCCCTGGGTGATGTGAGCGAAAACCTCTGTGTATCTCAGTACCTCTCCCACTTCAGAGGCATGTCTGTGTGATGCAGGAGACGGTGGCACTGTTTACATAAAATAGCTCCCCGGGCACTATTACCTACCATGTGCCTGGCACTGGACAGGCTTTCACGTGTGCTAGTTCGGTTAATCCTTACAACATCCGTGGGAGGCACTGGCATCCTTTTTATTTCACAGATGAGAAGACACAGGCTCAAAGCAACTCAGAGCCCTACTAAAAGATCACAAGGGCAACATTTGGAAGTGATGGGATTTGAACCCCACTTCTGGCTGCAAACACTATTGTTGTAAAACTCAGATCTACTGAGTACAGACCTCCAAGATGTTTGATTTTTCAGGTTCCAAAGGACCTTTCTTACATGACTTCTCAGTTGCCCTGTGAAAACTCACAGCTTTTCACAAATGATTTCTAAACAGTACCACTGGATCACAAGAAGTGTGTGTGCTTCTGCAGGGTACCCATGAACTCCCTTCCTAAGCACCAACAAGTCACTTAACCTGGAACAACTTATCAGCACTCCCATCCTTTGGGCAAGGAAAAACTATATTGTGGGTCACAAAGAGAAGAGGAATCACAAGTCAAAGGCTTGGTTGAGAACAGATTCCCTAGGCTCCACCCTCCAAGATAATTCATTAGGACTCTGCAATCTGTATTTTTTAAAAAGCTCCCTCAGCCATTTGGAAGTCACTTCAGCTTTCCTTGACTAAAAAGGAAATTTTGAGGTCTACCCTTCCCTGTTGTCAAGGGGATGATGTAAGAGTGAAATGAAATCATGTCTACAAAGGCTCTCTTTTGGAAAATATACGCAACGCAAGTGCTTCTTGTCAGCTGTGTTTAGCTCCAAAACAACCAACTGTCCTTAAGAGGGTTAGCCTGGAGCTAAGAAACTGTTTTAGGCAAGAATGTTCTTTTACATTACTATTAGAAAACATTATTATTAGAAAAGCTGTAATTAGTCATACATCTCATTTTAGATATTCCTCACAACACTGTTGCAACTTCATCTTTCCTTTAAAAAACGAGATTGTATTGACATTCTTTCACATCAAACTTGGAAAAACCTATATTAAGAGTAACATACGGCCGGGCACGGTGGCTCAAGCCTGTAATCCCAGCACTTTGGGAGGCCGAGACGTGCGGATCACTAGGTCAGGAAATCGAGACCATCCTGGCGAACACGGTGAAACCCCGTCTCTACTAAAAAATACAAAAAACTAGCCGGGCGAGGCGGCGGGCGCCTGTAGTCCTAGCTACTCGGGAGGCTGAGGCAGGAGAATGGCGTAAACCCGGGGGGCGGAGCTTGCAGTGAGCTGAGATCCGGCCACTGCACTCTAGCCCGGGCGACAGAGCCAGACTCCGTCTCAAAAAAAAAAAAAAAAAGAGTAACATACAGGGCAGGGGCAGTGGCTCATGCCTGTAATCCCAACACTTTGGGAGGCCACGGTGGGCAGATCATGAGGTCAGGAGATCGAGACCATCTTGGCTAACACGGTGAAACCCCATCTTTGCTAAAAATGCAAAAAATTAGCCAGGCGTAGTGGCATGCGTCTATAGTCCCAGCTACTCAGGAAACTGAGGCAGGAGAATCACTTGAACCCGGAAGGTAGAGGTTGCAGTGAGCTGAGATCATGCCACTGCACTCCAGCCTGGGCGACAGAGACTCCATCACAAAAAAAAAAAAAAGAGTAACATGCATTTCATTGCTTTAATGAAGAAAATATTAAATAAGAAAAAAATCCAAAGTCTATTCATGTCTAGGCTGTCGGTCACTGAAGTGGGATGAGAAGGCACAGACTGGCACAGCCCCTGACCCTGTCAGTCCATTACCCCTCTCCAGCCTTTAAGAAGAACAAATGACCTCCAATACCAGAAAGACTGACCTGCTTGAGCTGCTCATCCAGATTCCAATTTGGCTGCCCTGCTGTGGAGACAGAAGGTGGGGCCTTGGAAGCATCTTTGGTATGGTCTTCTTTAGCTTGTTGTCCATGTGGTGGCAGCCCTGGTGCTGGAAGTAGATTAGACATGGGTGCCACTCTGGGATCTTGGCGAGCTACTTTCTGCACATGAAAATATTTTGAAGCAGCCTGGGTTTCTTTCTCAGCCACCTCCGCAACTTCATCATCCCCATCCTCATCTTCCAAACCTCCATCCTCTTCCTCAGGCTCTGAGTTCACGTTGCCCCGTTCAAAGACTTGGGCCACTGCTGTGGTGGGTGGAACTCTGGCTAAGGGACCTAAGGGAGTGCTGCCAGAAGGCCTCCCAGGTGTGGCGGAAAGGAGAGTCGGCTGTGTGACCAGCTTTTGGGCATACAAGAACTGGGCTTCTCTCATCTGCTGGCCCTGCTTCTCTCTGGCATCCATCTGCAGAGGAGCCAGGTGTGGCTGCTTCTGTTGCTGCTGCTGCTGCTGCTGCTGCTGCTGCTGCTGCTGCTGCTGAAGTGGTTCCATTATTGCCTCAAGCTTCACCCACAGAGTGGCATGACTCTGAACCTGGGCACAGCCCACCAGGCACACTGGGTCTAAACCTTAGTGATTAACAGAAACCACAAAGAAGGAGAGGGAAAAAACAACTATGTAAAACAGGTATAAAAAGGTTTCCTTTTCTCCAGTAGAGGGCCATGAGTTCTGAACGCTAAACATATGCTCCTAAACCTGAGTTTTAAGATGAGTGAGTGGTGGGGGTTTCGTGGGTGGGTAGGAAAAGGTGTGAAGAAGAGAAACAGGATCTAAGAGGGGAAATAGGGAATGAATCTCAGTAGTAGTAGCAGACTGTTGAGGGCTTTAAAAGAAGTACATCCAGCCAATATCTAGTCTGTTAACATGTGTTCTGATCTCTCTTCCTCTACATTATCAAACATTAATCTGTTACTGAATTAATGTCACTGAACATTAATTACTGAAAAGGTAACTGGGTTTGCTCTGTAGCAAAAGCTGTAATTATGCAAACAATAATAATAAAGGAAAAGAAGGGCCTACCTGCAAAAGAGAGAGTATGTTCCCAAGCCCACAGGAGAAAGATATCACCTCTGAGCTAGACACAGAACTATCAGGCAGACAGTTTTACTCTCATAGAAAAAGCAAGACCAAGCAAGCTGCTCTTGGGTTTAAACTTTTCAAATTTCCCTGATCAAATTGCCAGCCTGCTTGTTGAGTGGACTGAGCCATACTAACTGGATATTATAGCCTCAAAAAGAATCCAATTTCAACAACATGAAAGAAACACGCAAGGAGGCAAGAGTCTCAAATTGCGATCGTCACTCAAAAGCAAACGGGGGAATTCCTCTGGAGATTTTAAAGTTAATTAATTTGAAACAGATATCAACATTGTCTGAACAAGTTAATGCTGCTTCTTTTTTATAAACAGCCAAGTAAAACTCTTTACATCCCCTTTCTTTCTGATTCATTTCTACTATAATATTCTCTGACGAATACAAAAAGAAAAGGCTTTCGGGCCAAAAGCATTCTGGGGGCAGGTTTATCTGCATTCTTACCAATCAGTCTCCAAACACACATCACTTTCACACCCTGTTCTCCTTTAATTCCCCCACCTCTCCCCTGCAGGCCCTCACCCCCAACAAACTTCACTTGAGTTATGTTTCTTCAGCAAGTCTCCATAACTGAATGGATTACTATGCAAGGGCAAATTTTAGGTGAACAGGACTTGCAACATGGCGTACAATTTTGTCATCACATGAAAGAAGCTGCAGTGCACATGTTGGGACTTGATATCTGCATTGTTCCAGTGTTTTAGGATTGGGTTGAAAGACAAAAAAAGTGTCTTTAGCATCTTCAAAAATTCACGGAGAAGTAATCACATCTTTAGCAATAAAAACTGCTTGGATTTAAGATTTTTTTCCAGGTTAGAGTAAAAAAGGGTACAATTTTTAAAGCTAGGCCAATTAGTAGAGATTAAACATTCTCATTTTCTGTTTATCTTATAGCCCTGTTTGTGCCTTTTGTGTTCTGTGAAAGATTCGCATTCCAATTTGCCTCTTACTGCCTTTACTTCCTCTCTTGGCACTTTAGAAAGTGTGAGTTACGCTTGCAGCCATACTTTCATTCTGCTTTAGCTCTTCTTACAGTGTAAAAAAGCATGACAAGATTTACATCCACATTAAATTCAGTTGGCAAAAGTGTTCATTTAAAATGAAAACAATTTGGGTCAAAGAAAATTACAGAATAAAGCAAATAATTCGGTGTTCATTTTAAATGTCCTCACAGTCATTACAGTCAATCAATCACGATTGGAATAATTTATCAACCAAGTCCTGCCAGTCACTGAACAACTGCTTCTTGTCTTGTGGCACCATCTTCTCTGAATGCTGTCCCCAGCAGAGGGGGAGGTGTCCCTCCCACAGCCTCTTATAGTAAGACTGAGATGACTCAGTTCTACAACTCAATACACACACCCTCCCCCAAAGAGCCCATCTTCCCGCAGTCCCTAAGCAGCCAGCGATCCAAACAATGCCACCTGCCTACATTTGGAGAACTTATGTCTCAAATCTAAACCTCTTCATCCCTTCACATGGGCCCCTCCCCCATTTCCCCTAAAGTTCCCGGACCACCAAGCCGGGTGCAACGGACTGCCTGCAGCTTTGAACCCGGCCTGCCGACCATTCCCCTACCTTTCCTGCCGGATTCGTTTGGCCCCGGGCCCCTGTAAGCCCCACAGCCCACCTCCCCGGTCACCCCTGCACGCCTCCCCCCATTCTTTATTCACCTTCCCCCATTTAGCCCTATCACTTTTACCTCTACCAACCCTCCCAGTCAATCCGCTGGCTCTTCTCCGATGGCCCCCGCCCCACCTATCTGCGCCCACTCAGCTCCAGGGCCCCTCACCCTTCTTATCGCTTTATCTCAAATGCCCTAATGGGCACAGGGCGCTCGGGGCTCCCGCGGCGCTCTCACTTTCCTTCACGGTCCCCGCGCCCCCGGCCCGCGCCTTCCCCTCTCTCTCCACACCTGCCTCGGCTCCTGGCCTCGGCCCCTCCACCTGCCGCAGCCTCCCCTCCCGCCGTGCCTGACGGAGCCGGGACCCGCACCGCTTACCTGTGCGGGGCGCTCCGGGTTTTCGGGCGGCGGAGGAGGAGGCGGCCGCTCAGGCCCCGGCACAGCAGCTGCGTCTCGGACTCCTCCGCAGCCGGGGGCCACAGCCGGGGCGGGGCCCGCACCGGAAGCGGCGCCGCGGGGCCGGACCGCCGGCCAGGGGCGGGGGGCGGACGGCCGGCCAGGGGCGGACCGCGGGCCGGGCGCGGGGGCGGGGGCGGGGCGGGGCCACAGGGGGCGGGGCGGGCCCGAAGCCGGAAGCCGCTAAAAAGGGACAGGGTTGGGGGGCGGGGGTGGGACGAGGCGGAAGTGGGTCCCACGGACTGCGCCGCCCGACTGAGTCGTGGGAGGAAGCGAATGGAAGCGGGCGGAAGCTTCGGCCAATGGCAAGTGCGGACACAGAGGGGTTCCGGTGTGAGCACTTACGCGGGGAGTTGAAAAGAGCCGGGCTGGAGATAGTGTTATGCGAGCGTTTTCTGTTGCGGAGGTTGGTGTGGCTCGGGCGGTTGGCTGGGAGGAAAGTAACTAAAGAGCAGAGGAGTGTAGGGTTCGGTCCACTACTCAATCTCCTGCCTTCAAGCCCGTCTTCCTCAGGGGTTCCCATGTTTAGATCAGCTTGTCTCTAAACTTCTCCGCTCCTTCCTGGGACAGAGACCTGGCTGTCCTGAGAATGTTGCGTCCCTTGAAAGCTTCTCACGTGAATTAGTATTCTCAGGTCTCAGTTTCCAGAGGTCGGGATTATGTGCTAGGTGCTGTCACCTCTTGTAAAAACACTTGCTTCTCCAACCCTTCCTCTTAGACTCTGTCACCTATTTCACCCCGTTTGGAGATAATCTGCCGATCTGTGTATCCAGCTCCTTGTCTATCTCGCATCTGACCATCTTCTTTGATAATTTCAGAGCCTATGTGGCCAACCCGTTCAATATCGGGCCTCGTCTTTAGCGACCCTTATATCTCCCTCCCAATACCAGTCAAAACCTGGACCTTGCCCCTCGAAACGCTATACTCAGTAATTTGAACAACCCTTTTTTCAACCACAGCCTGCTATTCTCTCAGCTTGACTACTTTTGAGCTATAGGCCTGATACAGTAGCTCACGCCTGTAATTTCAGCACTTTGGAAGGCTGAGGCAGGCGGATCTCTTGGGCTCAGCAGTTGGAGAGCAGCCTGGGCAACAAGGCGAAACCCCATCTCTACAAAAAATATAAAAATTAATGAGGCGTTTTGGCGCATGCCTGTGGTCCCATCTACTCGGGAGGCCGAGATGGGAAATCACCTGAGCCCAGGAGAGGCGGAGGTTGCAGTGAGCCATGATTGTGCTACTGCACTCCAGCCTGGGTGACAGAGATACTGTTCCCCCCCACCCCCAAAAAAATAGAATTACAGCATAACTGTATAAATGTTATTTCACTTTTTTTTTTTTTTTTTTTTTTTTTTGAGGCGGAGTCTTCACTCTGTCGCCCAGGCTGGAGTGCAGTGGCGCGATCTCGGCTCACTGCAAGCTCCGCCTCCCGGGTTCGCGCCATTCTCCTGCCTCAGCCTCCCGAGTAGCTGGGACTACAGGTGCCCGCCACCGCGCCCGGCTAATTTTTTGTATTTTAGTAGAGACGGGGTTTCGCCGTGTTAGCCAGGATGGTCTCGATCTCCTGACCTCGTGATCCGCCCGCCTCGGCCTCCCAAAGTGCAGGGATTACAGGCGTGAGCCACCGCGCCCGGCCTTTTTTTTTTTTTTTTTTTTAAAGAAAGAGTCTTGCTCTGTCGCCCAGGCTAGAGTGCAGTGGCACAACCTCAGCTCACTGCAACCTCCGCCTCCCGGGTTCAAGCAGTTGTCCTGCCTCAGCCTCTCGAGTAGCTAGGATTACAGGTGTGCGCCACCAAGCCAGCTAATTTTTGCATTTTTAGTAGAGCCAGGTTTTGCCATGTTGGCCAGGCTGGTCTCGAACTCCTGAACTCAGGTGATCAGCCTGCTTCGGCCTCCCATAGTGCTGGGATTACAGGTGTAAGCCACTGTACCTGGCCTCATCTTTCACTTTATCAGAGCAGAGCATCTAATCGGTTGAAAGCCTCTACGTTATGTCTTATCCATTAATCCCCTCTTCACTTCCCTCCTTATCCATTTTAGATTCAGTGGTACATTATTACAGCTCTGCCCTTACTTAATCCCACCACAACACTCCCTTTTCCCTAACGAAATCCCTCACCCTGGATGGACCTATGTGTTTCTCCTTGCTTGTACCTTGTCATAGAAATTTGTCCTGTTGCTGGGCGTGGTGGCTCACACCTGTAATCCCAACACTTTGGGAGGCCAAGGTGGGCGGATCACGAGGTCAGAAGTTAGAGACCAGCCTGGCCAATATGGTGAAACCCCGTCTCTACTAAAAATACTAAAATTAGCTGGATGTGGTGGCGCATGCCTGTAATCCCAGCTACTTGGGAAGCTGAGGCAGAAGAATTTCTTGAACCTGGAAGGCAGAGGTTGCAGTGAGCCGATATCGCGCCACTGCACTCCGGTCTCGGCAACAGAGCTAGATTCCATCTCAGAAAAAAAAAAAATTGTCCTGTTGAGGCCGGGTATGATGGCTCACGCCTGTAATCCCAGCACTTTGGGCGTCCAAGGCCGGTCGATCACCTGAGGTCAGGAGTTTGAGACCAGCCTGACCAACATGGTGAAACCCTGTCTACTAAAAATACAAAAATTAGCCGGGCATGGTGGCGAAGACCTGTAATCCCTGCTACTCCAGAGGCTGAGGCAGGAGAGCTTGAACCTGGGAGGTGGAGGTTGCAGTGAGCTGAGATTGTGCCATTGTACTCCAGCCTGGGCAACAAGAGCAAAACTCTACCTCAAAAAAAAAAAAAGAAAATTGTCCTGCTGAACAGATTGGCATCACTACATTAATAATTACCAACTTTAAATGGACTGTGGGCCTGGTGTGGTGGCTCACACCTGTAATCTCAGCACTTTGGGAGGCTGAGGTGGGTGGATCATGAGGTCAGGAGTTTGAGCCCAGCCTGGCCAACATGGTGGAACATGGTGAGACCATGCTGGCCAACATGGTCTCTATTAAAAATACAAAAGTTAGCTGAGCGCAGTGGCAGGCTCCTGTAGTCCCAGCTACTCGGGAGGCTGAGGCAGGAGAATTGCTTGAACCTGGGAGGTGGAGGTTGCAGTGAGCTGAGATTGCATCACTGCACTCCAGCCTGGGTGATAGAGCAAGACTCCATCTCAAAAAAAAAAAGGACTGTGAACTGTGACTAGAAATTTCATTATATTTTTCTAGTCAACTTGCTCTCCACGATCTCTACAAATCTCTGATCTATACCCATACCACTTCCCCTGATTTCCTTATCATATAAGTAACAGAAAATGTAGAATGTCCTGAAATCGAGAAACCTACTTACTTGTGTTCCCATCCTGTCCTTCCCTCCTATTTATTCAATGAAAAATATTCACTGAATTCCCATTATATGCCAGACTAGGCACTCATGTAGGTGCTTACTGAGCAATGGACAAAACAAAAAAATTCCCTGCTTGCAAGTATCTTTACTAGTTTGGGGAGAGAAAACAAATATATAACATCAGGGATATATGCTATGAAAAACAGCAGGGTAGGGGTTAGACAGTGGTGTCAGGTAGCTGCTGTTTTAGATGTTCGGGAAGAATTTATAAGGATCCTTCAAGCAGAAACTGGTATTGACTTAATGGGCATGAGCCATGTAGATATCTAGGGGAAGAGTGTTCCAGGCAGAGGAGATAGCAAATTCAAATGCCCTGGGGCAGGAGCCTGCTTGAGGTGCTACAGGAATAGCAAGAAGATCACTGTGTTGATTCAGAGTAAGTGACGGGGAGAGTGCTAAGAGACCAGATAAAAAAGGTAGCTGGGGCCTTATCAATTATGGCAACAATTTTGCCCATCACCACTGAAAGCCCTGGAGAGTTTAGAACTGAAGAGTGACTTGATCAGATTTATATCTCTAAAGGGATCATTCTAGCTGTTGTGTTGAGAATTGACCACAAGGGTAGAGGGGTAAGAGTAGAAGCACTAATCTTGGCAGAAGATGATGGTGGCCTGAACTAGGTAACAGCAGTGGACATAGTGATAAGTGGTTAGATTCCAGGTGTATTTTGAAAGTGGAGCTGGCTGAGCGAACTAGTGAGCACAGTGGCTCACGCCTGTAATCCCAACACTATGGGAGGCTGAGACGGGTGGATTGCTTGAGGCTAAGAGTTCGAGAACAGTCTGGGTTACATGGTGAAACTCCATCTCTATCAGTAAATACAAAAATTAGCCAGGTGTGATGGTGTGTGCCTGTAGTCCCAGCTAGTTAGGGGGCTGAGATGGGAGGATGGCTTGAGCCCAGGAGATGGAGGCTGTAGTGAGCTGTGATTGTGCCACTGCACTCCAGCCTAGGCAACAGAGAGAGACCCTGTCTCAAAAAAAAATAACTAAATAAAAAGATAAGGAAGTGGAACCACCAAGATTTGCTGATGGATTGGTTATATAAACTAGAGAAGAGAGTGAAGGATGATGCCAAGGTTTTTGGCCCAAGTAATTGTTAGAATAGTGGTATAATTTACTGACCTAAGGAATACCAGCAGAAGCCAACAGCAATGGAATGTTAGCAATAAAAAGGAATAAAGTATTGATATATACAACAAGTAGGCATTATAACTGCATAATAATGAAAGGATTATGCCAAGTAAACTAAGTCAGTCTCAAATGACACTCATGCAGATACTGAAATTATAGTTTGGAGAGTAAGTCAGTCTGCCAGGAGCTAAGGGGGTGGAGGGAATGACTGAAGAGACAGCAAAAAGGAGGATTTTAGGGTGATGGAACTCTTTTGAATCTGATTGTGGTAGTAGTTACCTGAATCTGTACATGTGTTAAAATCCATAGGACTATATATAACAAAAATAAAGTCAATTTTATTGTATGAAGTTTTTTTCTTAAAAGCTAACCTCCAGGTCGGGCGTGGTGGCTTACGCCTGTAATCTCACCACTTTGGGAGGTTGAGGCGGGCGGATCACTTGAGGTCAGGAGTTCGAGACCAGCCTGGCTAACATGGTGAAACATCGTCTCTACTAGAAATACAAAGATTAGCCGGGCGTGGTGGCAGTTGCCTGTAATCCCAGCTACTCAGAAGGCTGAGGCAGGAGTAT